CGGCAAACGTTTTGGAAAATATCAGCGTTTCGTGTTTGTTTTGACTTCGTGTGGACGGGGCCTTAGTTTCACATTTTTTTAAAAGAATACATTTTTTTTTTATGAACACACCTTATTCAGTTCCAGAGTAAGACACTTTTTATTCAAGTAAAAATCTTTTTATTTTTCCGATTTCTAAGATATATTGTAGTTGAAAATATTTGCAATGCTACACAACAATCCCAAACAGCGAAGGTTTGCTGCACTATTATTTTAAAGTGATAATTGAATTTTAGACCCCTAAAAATGAATTGGAGTTATAAAAATCCTTCAGTCCTTTCTGACTCAGCCTGTCTGGGCCAGATCATTAAATTTGCTGGTTTTGTTTCTGTGCTAAATATTTTAGAACCTGGATCCGTTCACCAGCGACATCAAAGCCAAGATGGAGCAATTTGTGGAGGAACAGACAGAAGCCAGTTTGGTGAGCAGATCCACACATTATGATAATCTGAAAGTTTGCAGCTTCCTTCTAAACTAAACCAAACTGCTGGATCAAGAGTATGAATAAACATTGGTGTCAGACACAGTTTTGGTCCTGAAATGGTTTAAACTGTCTTCTGTTTGTCTTCTAGTGGATTTTCGTGCTGGTTGGAGCTGTGGCCACTGTCTCTGTCCTTGGAGTTGTTGTCCTCCTTCTGTACAGAAGATACAAAAAATCCAGTTAGTATCTCATTTTAAGGTTTTACGTTATAGCTTTATTGCACTTCATTCACCGCATTTACAAATCAGACGACAACTTGAGGGGCTCATAGATATTTGGCAGAAGGCTTGAATTAAACCTACAGACCTAAATCCTCAAAGATTTGTGGGTTTGAATTAGGGCTGCAACTAACAATTATTTTAAAAATCGATGAATCTGCCGATTATTTTTTCGATTAATCGATGAATCGGACAAAAATTTTTTTTTATATTAACCTCTTTATTCCAAAATAAACATTTTAGACAGAACAAACAAGCACACAAGTACAGGTTGCTCATTAACTGTACTGGTGCAATATGAAAAATAAATGTTTGTGTCAAAACTACGCAAACTTACCTCAGAAATGTAGCTGTACATCCACATCTAGTGAAAACT